GTTCAGAAATACTAAAGGAAAGTGGAAGTTTCCAAAACCCCAAAGAGTGCTGTGAGCAGGGGTGGTGAACGCTTTGAGCCGCTCCCCACTTAGTAGTGACCCAAATGCCACATCTCAAATCGATGTTTAAGAGAAACAACTAGGGAGTTGGATTGTTACTTCAAAGATTAAAAACCCTTCCATCATCCAAGCTCCTGCCCATCCATGTGCAAGGAGCTCCGATGTGTATGCCTGGCACGTGGTCACTTCACCAGTCACAGTGTCTTCACTGCCAGAGAAAATGTCAACTGCGTGAAAACATGGATATAAATGCATTCCTTTTTAGATTTTTTAAAAAACAGAAGTGAAGGCAAAATGGAAACTCAGACAGGAACTCTAATGATTTTTTCCCCCCAGGGAATCGCTAAAAAAATTACCACTCTACCAAGTTCTAGCTCCTAATGACTGGAGGTTTTTTTTTTTGGTTTTTTTGTATGTCTTTTTTTAAAAAACACGAATTGGGGTTTTTCTTCTCACAAACATTACATGTTTATGGAGAAGATACAGAAAATACAGATAAGACCAAAAAATATTTAATAAAAAAGCATAAGGCCACCATTCTCAACCTCTTGGTATAATCCTTTCAGTTGTTTTACAGTATCTACAGTAAAATCATTTTGTTTTTATAAATATGGGCTACTATATACTATTTTGTAACTTGATATTCTTTATCTATTTCCACATTAATATTCTTTAACCACATTATTTTTAATAGTTGCAAGGTATTCCTCTGAATAAATGTACCATAATCTATTTAACCATTGCCCTATTTTAGACATTTTTGGCTATTTTCAATGTTTCAAAATTTAAGAAGATTATAAACAATGCTGTCTTTGACATCCACATATACACAGTTCTGGCAACATTCATGATGATTCTTAAAGAATATTTCCTGTAACTAAAATATTTGGATTAAAGAGAACATGCATTTTAAAGCCTTTGATGTATATCGCTGGTTGCCCTCCAGTTCACCCCAGCAGTTCACATGAACACCTACCTCTCCCACATGCTGGCCAACAGCAAGCTGTGCCACTATTTTTGTCTTAAGATTTTTTTTTTTTTTTGATGTGGACCTTTTTTTTTTTTTAAGTCTTTATTGAATTTGTTACAGTATTTCTTCTGTTTTATGTTTTGGTTTTTTGGCCATGAGGCATGTGGGATCTTAGTTTCCCGACCAGGGATCGAACCTGCACCCCCTGCATTGGAAGGCGAAGTCTTAACCACTGGACCGCCAAGGAAGTTCTTGTGTCACTTTTTAAATTTGCTAAAATGGTCCCCGAATAGCACTTGCTTTAATTTCGTACTGATTTAACTACTCAGGAAGTTGAGTGTTTCCCCTATTTATTGCCCATTTGTATTCCTACTTTTGTAATAAGCAGAGACTTAATAAGCTTTTTCTAGCCTCAACTTCCTGTTTCTCAGAGAATATAAATGTCTCTCAGAAGAGAAGGCAACATCTTTGGGCAAGAAACAAAACGTATTTGCTTTGTGGGAGTTTAGTTTCCTTAAATAAACACTGCTTCAGACTAAGGGGAACAGGTTTGGATTGAATATGTAATAATTCAATCTCATGATGATAAATGTTCAGGGCACAAATCAGAGAAGAGTTTAGAAGAAAGGGAGTTGAGAGAGCCGGGTTGAATTTGCACTATGGTTTGGAGGGACTTCCCTAAGAAACAGTCAGTAAGATGCATACACTCGCCACATCCTCTTACCCGAGCATCCTTCCCGACGACTCTGAAAGATCTTCTAGGTGTGGAACAGCCCCAAGTGAGCAGAACTGAACCAGGGTGTGGGGGGCAAGTTAAGAGTTCAACAACTCCCCTGGGATAAGACAAAAGACCTGGGCTTTGACTCACAGAGTTCTGCCGTGACTGCGTGACCTTAGCAAGTTACATAACCTCCATGAGCCTCAGTTTTCCCATTTGTGACATGGGATAATAGCATTTATTATTATCCCATTTCCACGGACAAGATCGTTGTGAGAATGATCGGGAGGCGAAGCTCCTAGCTCTGTAGTTAGCACACAGTAGGCTTTCAATAATAGCTCTGATAGGAACGAATCCAACCATGTCACAAATATTTATCGAGTGCCACTGAAGTGTCAGGCACCGTGCTGGGCACCTGGGTATTACAACAAATGATAAACCACAGGTAAGCTAATTATATAGCTGTAGGAGGTGATAAGAACGCAGATGAACAGAGAGCAGGTGAAGGCAAGGTGGGCAGGGCAGGGGGTAGACCTCCTGAGAAGGTGACTTTGGAGCAAAGACTTGAAGGGAGGGAGGGAGGGAGTGAGCTTGGTGCCTGGGAGAGGGAACCACCCCAGGAATG